TGAGAAGTACAGCGTTGGCGTTGAGCGCTTTTCTTTTTAAAAAAAGGAGAGAGTCGTCGGAGTCGAAAAACAGCGTTGAATGAGTGTAATCAAAAGAGTGATCATTTTGTGTGATATCATAAAAGAATTAATTGTGTCGTTTGAGTTTATTCGAATTATTGTAGTCTGTGTTGTATATCTTGATTTTATTATTTGTTGTTTTGTTTCCGTTTTCTTTATTACTTAATGTAATAAACATCATTAAATTATATCTCTACAATAGTATAAGATAATAAATTAGAGAGAAACGTGTTTCTTTCTCGACTTGAGGTCAATATAATTATCTCCGGTTTAAAATTCTTAAATACCTCGTATTAGACAGTTTTATTCTATTCTGCTCTTATCAAACCATTCTATTTTGCTGGGTCGATTTCATCTTGCGTCCACCTCTCGATCATTCTGTCATTCATTTACCTTCCTCTCTTTCTCTCTCTCTCTCTCTCTCGTGTTTCATTTTCATTCGCCTGTCACTGTGACACTATTTCATTAAGCTTTAAACGACATCTCCTAATTACTTATCGATCGCGCAATTGGATCAGTCACAGCGATTATATTGTTGCTGCGACGTAATTCAAGGATCGAGTCAATGTTGTGTAACCGAGGAAGATTTTTCAAATGAGATCAGGAATATGATATCCTATTTACCCAGTTAACGTGTTTTCTGAAAAAAAAAATTCAAACTGCCGTGTCCAAATTTCGTAAAATACCTTATTAATTTGTATATTTGCTTGGACGTTGACGTGCAAGTAGTGGATCAGTTAAGAACAATCACTATCATATCATGTTTATTAAAATTTACACACTTATTGTAGATCTCACAGAGTCGTTTATTGTATCATGTGCAAAATTTCGGAGGTTATTTATTGTATTATTATACCTATATGCAAGTGCCAAATAAAAATCAAATTCAATCGTTCTTGCTTTTTGATCTATTAACACCACAACGACCAATTATTTTAAGAAGAAGCCTTATTTTTCTGTGAAAAATTTATAATTGCTGAAAATCGCATAAATCTAGAGCAATGTCACTAGTCATTGTAATGTTAATAATTGGCTACTAAAGACGAAAAAAAGTTTAAGAAATAAGTGGTAATAATTTACTCGAACAATGAATAAATGTAAAATATATTTAATATTCATCTCTGTAATATTTGTACATATGTAACGTACTTCAAGGTTGACATTTTTACGCAGAAGCTCTAATATTTGTATGCACGTATGTACGTACTTGAAAGTTGACATTTTTACGCAGTTCGTTCGCGGAAAATGAAAAAAATATCATCAGCTATTGGAAACAGTCTCTTTAAAATTCGTGGGTTTTGAATAAACTTAGTTATTTTAGTAAATTCAGTTACTGTCGTATTACAATGTTATTGCACCCAACCTTACTAAACTCCCAAAGTTTCTTTCTCTCTTCTGTTAAATTTTCTATTAATACACAGCTGTGACTTTTATGCATTTAATGAAAAGTGCAAAAATGCACAAATTGCATATCGAATGCAAAAATGCATAAAATATCCAGTAGAGTATTTATTGTAATAGGCAGAGTGAATCTCGCAATACGGTGACTTTAAATGAACAAAAAATGCTTCAAATAGAAATTTGTTTCTCGTTTAACACTTTTTGTACGTAAATTTTTTTTATTTGAATCCAAGAAGAAATATTAGACATTCCACTTAAATAACTGAAGGTGAATTTCACATTTTGATAAGAAAGCAAAATGACAATAAACTGCATAATTGTATGCTTTTCTAGAAAATTCCTGTTTGGAACATTTTTTATAATAAGTTAATCTACTTATTTATACTCACATTGTATAGTAGATCAAACGAATTTCTACTTAAATGTCACCATTCAATGAGTGATAAAATTCTGCGAATATCGTCATCATTAATCAATCATTTTATTAATCAGTTTGCTAATTTATTAATCATAATTAGACTGCGGATTTTTATGCATTTATAGGAAACTTTAATGTGTGAAGTTTCGTGTGATATACGTAATATGAAAAATGTATAAAATAACACAAGCCTTTCTGTAACACTTGATAAACAAAAGAACTTTCTCCTAAGGTCCTGTTCTAAAAGAAAAAAAAAAAAAAAAAGAAAAACAAATGAATTCGAATAAGAATCCGCAGTCTATTCACAAGCTATTTCAGAATTACTTCGAAGAGCTGTACAAAGAGCATACTCGTTTGGGAAAGAGGAGGCAAAGCAATTTCCACCACGGTGTGTCACTCGTCGACTAGGATAATTCTAAATTCACACGTCGACTCTATCCGTTTAAATTTTAATTCGCCCTCGCCTCTGGCCGGCTTTGAGTTCCAATTAATTTCCAACGTCCGGGAATTCCCCGTCGTGCAAGGACACCGCGTTAAAACAACAAGGAACAAGCGGCTACCGAGATTCTCATTGTCCAGCGAACGAAAAATATTCCTCCGTCGTTGCCCTCCATCTTGATAACCGCTGTCTTCAGCGGGCGTTTCAACAACGACTGTTAACGACGTGATGTCTCTTTTTCACCTGGAAGCCGAAGGAGAACGCGTATTATACGCCTGAGTTTTTCTGGCGCGCCTTTGTATCGAGAGGTCGACCTGCTCTCCAGGGAGGGAAGGGCGACCTCCTCGGGATAATAAATGTCCGCCTGTCCTGCTGGCCCGTCCCTTATTGCCGCTTCGCTTCGCGAAGAAAGGAGCGCGAGACGAAGCAGCGTGCGCGAAGGAATGTCAATAAGGAAACCGGAAGGCAGACAAACGGGAACGTCGAACGTTGGTGAAAAATAGAGGGGGATGCTCGAACGGTGGAATAATCGCGAATGAGGCGCCGCTGGATCTTCGAATGCCGACGGAACGTTCCCGGAGAAATGCTACTGTGACTGGCGAGCAAAAATGGTAGAGAAATTTGTTCCTCGGATGTGATGGAATTGTTGTTCGAATTGGGGTGGATGATAGGCGTTGATTTATTATAGTGAGAGGATAGATAGCTTTTCATTTCGACAGTCCTCTCTTTTTATTATTTTTCACTCAATTCTTTCGGGTCATAAAATTTCTTAACTTTGAGGGAAATTAGTATTTAGTCTCTTTTTTTTTGTTTATTTATGGGAATTGGGCTTCATTCATGGGGGGTTGGCGCAAAGTACACATTTATATTATTGGAATAATTTTTCAAATCACTTTTGATTTAATTATATATTTTTCTGTAGATTAAAGAAATTCTTTGATTTTGAGCGAAATTATTACATAGTTTTTTTTTTTTTTATAGGAATTGAATTCCATTAGAAATGTATGAAAGATTGGTATATGAGGTACATTCATAGCATTGAAGGAAGAATAGTTTTTTATTTTGATAACGGTTCGTTTTTTAAAATTATTTTTGATTTAATTTTATGTCCTTTTGTTGGTTGCGAAATTTCGCGATTTTGAGGGAAATTATTATTATTTTTTTTTTTTGATACGTAAATTGATTTTTATTAGCAAATAAAATATACTACCGTCCAAAAGTTTGGAATATCCAGCAATTTCATGTTCAAGAAATAAATTGGTACATAAATTAACATTATAAATGTGACTTAAATAGATTACAACTGTATTTTAACAGTTTACAAATTAATATCACTATCTTTAATGTCGTGATCTGCTGAAAACACATGGCTTTACAAGGTGCTCTAAACTTTTGAACGATAGTATATCTATACGAAAAATGCAATAAAATAATCGTGTAGTAGTAATCAGTTCAGATATTTTTAAATTAAATTAAAAAAAAAAAGAAGAAATTGATTTATGGTATCAATGAATTTTAATAGAGTAAAGAAAATTGCGTTTCTCTCGTGTCTGTCAGTAGAAGTGAGAAATATTATAGGTTTGGTTAGTACAGGGGCTGAAAACGATTACGATATCGATTTTCGTTTCGAAAACAGTCATGCCTTGTATATTAATATATATAAAAAAATTCCAAGTGTAATTGAACTGCAGCAGATGTGTTAAAAAAATCTAAAATACAAATATAAAATAATGTAGAAGTGGAAACAGAGGATGAATGAAAACTGAGAGCAGCTTTACAGATAGTCTACTGTAGTCAAGGGTAATAAGAAAATAACAAATAATTAGTAAAATAATCAGCAATAGCACGTTAATTATAAGTTTTAACGCTCACTAACTTAGTTTTAACAAGCTAACTAAATTATAACAAAATCGTAGAAGACGATAAGCGATAATTATGTTCGAAATTAATAAACAAAGAGCATTATTAACTCATTAATGTCTGTCTATTAGAAAATCATCATAGATATTCAGGCTTGACAAATGTATTATAATCAATGTTATAATCATTTCAGAACCATTGTGAAATCATTATGATAATATCATTCGAAACCGAAACAGGTATGAGCCTTTAACAAGATCTTTTTCAGTCATAACTATTTTAGGGTTATTTCGGTTCTTTAAGGTTTTCGTATAACTGTTATTAATAGTTATTAACCACTTGCAATATGGAGAAATATGGAGGAATCATTGTTGAAACATTTTCAAAATATTAACACATTGATTATCACGCGAAAATAAATATGGTACGAAATATTTAACTGTTTTAAAATATTGGAGTACGACTCGTGTTTTTTCACTTCATAATATTATCCAGTTACTCATGATGTTTAAAATTCTATCATTAATGATATTCTTGATCATTCTAAAATATTTCAAGAAGCAGAAACGCTGGCAACCAG